AGAATTGATTTTCTATTTGTAAATAAATCTCTAAATATGGATATGTGGTTGATAATATCCCCTGGGTCTTAGGAAGTCGCAAGTTGTTTCTAAAATACATTTTGTAAATATTACATTTCATATTGTATAATTTATTTTAAGAATAACAACCACTGGGATTATTGCTGGTTCTTCCCAGGACAGAGGTTCTTTTCGAACTAGTGGTGAAGTAAAAAATGACTTTCAATAATTATTACATATAATCTATAATGAATAAAAAATATTCTATTCTATTATGTCATTTTTATTAAAATTCATTTCTATTTAAACGCTCGTGAACCAATTAACAAAAATTATTTCCACTACCAAAAGCATGTATGTTCCATTTACATATTCCATTAACGGCAACGTCCAGACTTTACTGTCTATCACTCTAGCAATAATTGCCAGAGATAAAATCAACATTGTCCCCATTTCAAGTAATTTCACGACTGTCATGAATAATGTATAAGAACATTGTACAAAATTACTGCCATACGATAATATTACTGACCTGTTCTTTACGTTTTTACTATCATTATACCTTTCAAACTTCTAATAAGTTTCATATCAATACTTTAATTTTTTTTTCTATTTTTTCTTGTGATATTGGAATTAGCAATTATCCACATTTAAATCCTTCCGTTTATCCTATCGGTTTTAGGTTTTTCGACCTTTATGGTCGGCCTATTGCCACTTGAGCATATTGATTCGTTTTTTTAAATAATACTAATTTTTACGGAATTTATCGCGTATATTAACTTTTATTATATACCCGACGTTTCGAGCACTTTACAGCATCTATGGTTACGGGGGTGGGGACTGAGAGGTTCAACGTCCATATGTCATAGTTAACCACGGTTACGGAGTAGGGATGTCATTGTAAAAAATTATATCGATATATATCGTATCGATATTTTTAAACAGTTTCGATATATTCGCGTGATATATATCGATATACAGATATGTTTTGCATAATGTAGTAGGATAAGGCTCAAAATGGTATTACTGGAAGGTTGGATGACGAAAAGAAAACGACAACAGCACATGAATGTACTTGTAGTTTCTTTTGTTGCCTAATGTTTTGTCGATTAATACAACATTTTAAAATAGTTGATATAATATTGAAATTAATATGAAATCGATACTCCAAGATAAATATTGAATATTGATATTTCGATATTTTTTACCCAAGCCTAGCGACAAACTGCAAATCGCACTTTCATAAGTGCAGGATTAATTCATAACCCACTAATAGTTAAATACATATTTACGCAGTATACAAATATATTGTAATTGATTGATATAACCAGCGGTTATTTATAAAATAGTTTCAGATAATATTTGGCGAGGTATGTAACTGGTTTATTTTCATATTGAAAAGTATTTCATCATTATTTTATTTGGACACTAAAAGTAAACTAATAAGTAACAAAAAATATTATTTTTTAATAAATATTTATCCCAAGCGGCTTGGACGATGGTGTCCAAATAAAATAATGACAAAGTACTTTTCAACATGAAAATAAACTAGGCATGTGCCTAGGCACGCTCAAGTGTAATTTACCAGTATTTTGTTTATAACGTTACCCCACGCTAGGATTTTCTCCTGTATCACGGAGACAGTTTACAATCATAAATTGCACAAGGAAAAACATCCAGACTTGTTCCGGGTCTGGATGTTATTTGCAGGCCATACAAATACTTGTTCCGTGCAGGATACGAAACCGCGACCCCCAGCGCAGCCACTCATTACTAAGCCACTGCACCACGGAGCCGTTACTTTGTCAAAGTTTGTGTTATAAACATACTTAGTATATTAACATGTTTATTACTTGCTACTACTAGCTCTCTGTTTGAATGGATACTAGGACTAAGGAAGGCATCAAAACCAGTTTTACATAAAACCGGTTTGGATGCCTAATTTTTCACTACCTCTCAATGGCATACCTCGGTTACCAATTTTTTTTATATTGTTACGTTTATACGACGACAGCGGGCGTGATTAAGTTGCAAACGGGTGCTCTTTACGACGCGCTCCGGACGACTGCGGGACGAGGGAGCGGTGATATGCTCCCGTTCAGCCGGCCTGTGCGCAATTTAATAGCACAATATTTATTTGATATTTATTTTTAAAATGATATAATATACTTTTTTTTTTTTGAAAATAAACCCATAATTCAATCACGTATTTACTGGTGAATACATAGCCAGAATTTAATTGAAATTAATTACATTCGAATGAAACTGTATTTTCCCTTAGTGTACGTATTTAAAATTGTAGATTTTGAGGACATTTTGCAAATTTTTTTCTATCAAGCTAAAATGTATCAATCGTGTTTCGACCACCATAATTCACTAAGAAAAATCTTCAACTTTCATAGAGAGTTTAAAAAAAATGTGAATTCATAATTTTAAATGACAAAACATTGATTTTTACGCACCTATAAAGGGTGAAAAGTCTGCTTTTGGCGCCCACTTTACCTTAAGCACGACATCGCATTATTTTTATATGCATTTTAATTTAAATAAAAGACGTCTTTGAATTCACGAAAGATCTACGTCGAGTTTTAAGAATACTTTTTGAATTGCGTTTCAGTTGAAAGCTCAGGAAAAAGGTTAGAATTACTATAACAAAATAAATGTGACTATATAAAAATGTTTGAAAATACTACAAGAATTTGAAAGAAAGAAATACTTTATTTTGACGTATACAAATTTACGACTCCGATATACGTAAAGAACATGGGTCAAATATGACCTGACTAATATGAAACGACCACCAATGATTGATATGTCAAAAAATAGCGAATTATGTGTATATCAAAATACGAGGTCAAATTTATTTTATTGAAGCCGGTGAAATAAATTATCTTTGTAATAAAAACTTCATTTCCTTACTATATAATTTTTATAGGTTTTGAACGCATCTAAACCCGTCCCGTTTTTATCTGTTGTACACGTTTCATTATAACATTAAAGTAACACTACCATTATGCGTTTACTTTTTTAAAATACTAGATTTTACGGTAGATTTTTGATTTCTTTTTATAGTTTATTTTTAGTTATGTCCTTTTTAGATGAGTATATAGCTTAAGTATTCCAGAATGAGTTGCAAAAGATAGGTTGATAGTTAATATAGAATGCACTAATAGTTAGAACGGAACGTATTATGAATATCTCTATTTTCTCTATGTAGTCTGTGGTATTATGACATTAGAGCTGTCAAAGTGTTTATTGTTTACTAGGTTATATATTTCAATAGAAATTTTTATTTTTATATCCTATTGTATATATAGCTGCATACTTTTTATATCAATGGTTTTAGGTGAAGTTTTAGTCATGGCTGCAGACTTATTACATCATAACTTCAAAAGTGAAGAAATACATATGTGTAACGTTCTATGATCCTCGGCTTTTAAATAATATATTTTCAATTTGAGATTGGTGATTGTGCCTAGGGAAACGGATTAATCCGTGCACTAGTCATGTTCGCGATATTTTATACTCAGGTCACAGCATGTATGGGCCGTGACCGACGTTCTTAAATAAATTTGACTTTGTATATTTATTCGTGCCAAAAATGAACTTTAAATGCAGTCAACGAAAAAAAAATCAAAGGCAATAAGCTGCCAACATTAATGCCCATCCCTACTGTTAACATGTACATATGTCGTTTCATTAAATTAAAACAACATTTCACTGTCTTATAGTTAGACTATATTTCGTAATCAAAATTATCCACATCACAGTCCATCATAAGTCTACTACTGAACCTCAAGAAAAAAAACGTTCTTTAGGGACTTACAACTACCGACTTTTTGCATTTCTTATGCGGTCTTCAATGTATCTAGTCCAGGTCTGCCCCTCAATTTGTTGTCTACTGGTATGATGGCGCCACTCAAAAACTTCTTCCCATCAACTGTCGGTTCTTCTAGCTATATGGTAGCTCTATTACAATTTTTGCTAACTGGACCATTGGGATGTGTTGGTGAAATATCTGTTCTTTAGTGGTAGAGCAAGGTGATTAATTTTGCATTTTGTCACAGGTTTTTTGTAAAAGGCGACTATAAAAATTCAATAAAGATGTCATGCTTTCGTATAAAACCAGGAGACGACTGGTAAAAGCGTCAAATTAGATCGTCCCATCTGTCAAGTGTGTGATAAAAGTTTGAAAAGCCAATCTTCCCTATACCGGTAGATCACGTTCAGCAATGTAAATTTTTAGGGATAATGAAGATGCATGGTGAGGTCACTGCGGCGGTATTTTAGCTCACCCCGGACTGCTTTAAGGTTAACCAATCTCTCATAAAATGCCATCATGAAATAAAAACGTGATGCCGTTGTGTTCCATAAGGTTAGTAACAAGAACCTTTTTGCCGTGTGGTGTGCGGCGGAGTAGAATAGCACCACCCTATATCTACCTGTGGGTGTCGTAGAAGGCGACTAAGGGAGTGTGCAAAAGAACTGACCCCCTGTACCTTTTTCACTGATATACTCCGGTCGTAACGGTCTCCATTCCACTGGGTCCACGGGGACAAAGACGAGTATGTGCACCTGTGTTCGCGCGTATAATTGTGCACGTTAATATCTCCTGCGCAATTGACCTGCTTCCAATTAGGACTCCGATCTAAGTCAATGTCGCGGTGATGGGAGGAGGTAGAGAGGCTTAACGGGATGCTCGTTGGGTTTTGTCTGACTCCTGCACGTAGTCGGTTTTGGGGGTGTAGTATACATCGTGGTCGTTTCTGCACCGCATTGGGGTGACGGAGCGGATTCGGCAGCACCCAAGGTGACAAAGCAGCCCTATTCAGGGAGGCACTGCTTTCCTCGCTCAGCCGGGGAGGGGGCTAGAAAAGGTGCCCTAAACAAATGCTCACTCCAACCCTTTAGGATAGCAGCAACCGCGGCTGCCTCCGCATCACAAATCCGCGGTCGACGCCACAGAAAAAATAATGACAAATTTTAATTTATCATAATAAATGACATTTGGCGCGTGGAATGTGTGCACACTTATTGACCGAGAAGAAAATGTCCCCCCAGTGTGGAAAACTGTCATTGTAGCTCGGGAACAAAGTCGCTATAATATTGATGTGGCTGCACTCAGCGAAACACACCTCCGCGATGAAGGAGAGCTGGTAGAACACGGCAGCCTGTATACTTTCTTTTGGAAAGGACTCGCTTCCTCAGAGCCACGAAGGTCTGGTGTAGGCTTTGCTGTCAAGAACTATCTTGTTGCTCAACTACAAGAATACCCTTTACATGTATTGGACCGCATTACCACATTGCGCCTTTACATGGGACGTGAAAACTATCTGAATGTCATCAGTGTCTACGCCCCTACGCTAGACAAGTCTAATGAAATTAAGGACAAATTCCAAAAATTGACGCGGTGCATAGATTGTATCCGTCCAAGGGAGCAAATCCTTCTCTTGGGCGACTTTAATGCCCGAGTAGGACGAGATTATGACGCCTGGCCTAAAGTTCTGGGTAGACATGGTGTTGGTAAAATGAACAGCAGTGGCCAACTCTTGCTTAGTTTTTGTGCAAAATTAGATCTTCCAATTAAAAATACTATGTTCAGACTACCTGCCAAGTACAAGGCAACGTGCATCCACGTTCCACCATCCATATCCACCCTAGATCGAAGCATTGATACCTTATCGATTACGCTATCGTGCGCCAAAAAGACATCTCTCAAGTCCTAGTCACCCGTGTCATGCGTGGTGCTCACTGTTGGACTGATTACAGGCTTGTTATTATTAAATTAAATCTTCGTCTTCCACGTCCTTGTAGATCTGAAAGATCTAAACAAATACGTCTGAACCTTGAACGACTCTAAGATACTAACAAGAGAGCTAAATATGCCGAAACCTTGAGCACTGCTCTGCAGCCCCTCAACCTAAAATCAGGTGAGATCAATACTGACTGGGAGTCTCTATCTTCTCATGTTCTTGACAACGCTAAATCTACTTCGCACGACAAGTGAAAGATAAGTGGTGGCAGGAGAAGGCTCGTTAGATGCAGTGGCTCGCTGATACCAACCAGCTCGGTGAGTTTTATGCTGAGGTGCGACGTCTACTCGGTACGTCCTCTATGGCGAAAGTTCCACTGAATTCAACTAGTGGTGAAGCGCTTTTTAAAAGCAGGGAGGAAATACTCGAGCGTTGTGCGGAGCATTTCAACACCCTACTCAACGTGGATCATTTTGTTGACCTAGAACATGTTCGCTGTCTACCTCAGCAAACTTTCGCCCTCGAGCCCGATGAGCCAGTCTTGCCTGACAAGGTTGCTCTTGCCATTAAGCAACAGCAAAATAAACGCGCGGTTGGTGTTAATTATATACCGGGTGAATTATTAAAGTATGGCGGTGGGGATTTGTATTCGGCGATATGGGAACTTTTTGTCGTTATGTGGGAAAAAGAACAAGTCCCTAATACTTTTAAGGTATCTCTCATACGAGCCCTATATAAAGGCAAGGGTGACCAGTCAAACTGCAATTCTTACCGTCTAACCTGTTTTGTAGAACTTGAGAGAGCATTCGATAGTGTACCGCGAGAAGCCCTCTGGATAGAGCTGCGGAAAATTGGATGCACAGAGAAGTTTGTGAGACTTCTGAGACTCCTGCATGATAAAATGCTGTGCTGCGTCGCAGTAAACGCTGATCAGTCAGAATTTTTTCCCGTTAACTGTGGGGTGAAGTCAAGGGTGTGTCCTTGCACCCGCACTTTTCGCGTTATACTTTGCAGTTGTAGTCCAGGAATTTTAAAAACTAACCCTGAAGGAATCCGCATTCGATTCCGTAATGGTGGCAATCTTTTCAACTTGGAAAGACTTAAGGCTGATATGAAAGTGTCTTACGCACTTATTACAGAGAGCGTCTACGCAGATGATCTATAAACATAGATCATTTGCGTAGACGCTCTCTGTATCTGTGTGACCGACTCCCCAGCTGGCTTGCAACAGTTCGTGACCACCTTTCATGAGTCGTGCCGTAGTGTTGGTCAAAAGATAAGTGTTAAAAAGACGGAGTAATGTCTTTAGATATCTACGGTCAAGAGACACTGACCATCAAACTCGGTGATGACATACTTAAGCAAATATATACATTTTATTATCTGGGGAGCACGATAACATCAAAGTGTGACCTTGATGCTGAAATCAACAGTCGGATCGGTGCCGCTGCTGTGTTATTCGGTAAACTGGATCGCAAGGTCTTTGGTTCACATGACCTAAAGCTGGTTACAAAAATTGACATTTATAAGGCGGTAGTACTGCCTAACATATTGTACTCTTCAGATTCATGGACAGTTTACCGCCGTCACATACGGACGCTGGATCGCTTCCACTTTCAATGTCTGTGCAAAATTCTCATCACATCCGTTGGTCTGATCATACTTGAAACACGGAAGTGCTGCGTAGAGCCCATACCATGGGGATTGAGGCCTACCTTATGGAGCGGCAACTCCGTTGGTGTGGACACATCGCTAATGTCCGACCAGAGAACGGCAAAGTGCATCTTTTTCTGTGAATTTGAGAAGGGCAAGTGTAAGCATAGCGGACAACTCCTCAGGTACAAAGATGTACTTAAGCGCCACATAAAGAAGTGCGACATTGAGTCTTTAGAGTGGGAGCAAGCAGCCGCTCGACGACCGGAGTGGAGGTCTTTGGTGAAAGCCTAGGTCAAAATGTTTGATGAGAATCGCTACTCTGAATTGGATGCTCGACGTGATGAACTCAAAGCACGCCCACCTTGTGCGATTAACTATAATTTCTGTAACGGTGTGCTCACCTGCCCGCATTGCGCGCGAACATTTGTAAATAAGATCGGCTACGTTAGCCATGCACGAGCACACCAACGACAAGATCGGAGTTGAAGAGATCGCCGTGGCCGAATTTGTTCGAGAAATATATATAACAAGAACCTTTATACATTTATATTCCATTGACATTACATAAAGATATTTTATTTTAATTTTATTACAGCCTATCAACAGTTCACTGCTGAAAATAGGCCTTCCTTGTAGATTGCCTCACAGAGGGGATATTTGCAGTAATATCCTCGCTTGACAAGAGCATGCATGGGCAGCAGCATCTTCTTGAAGACAATTCAAAATTATAAAATACTGCAATTTGATGTCGACCTGATAAGCGTGGCAAACTATGTCAAATGATACCATGAGATAATCTGTGGTAAAGTAAAGTAAAGTTACAGCCTATAGACGTCCCACTGCTGGGCACAGGCCTCCTCTCATTTCTGAGAGGGTATTAGGGCAAGGAAGTGTCCACCGCGCTGCCCCAATGCGTGTTGGCGGACTTTACAAGTCTTCGAAAAATTTTTTTTCTTATTTCTCAGACATGCAGGTTTCCTCACGATGTTTTCCTTCACCGCCGAGCACGTGGTAAATTAGCACTTAAAATTGCAATTAACAATTTCATTGGTGCCAGCGGGGATCGAAATATACAGCGAGTGCTAACCATCTGAGCTACCACGGCTCAATCTGTGGGGGAGGCCACATTCAACAGAAAACATTTTATAAATGAATGAGTGAATAATAAATGTACCATGTATTTGTAATCAACACGCCAGTTTGTAACAAAGTAGATTATATTTAAAAACTTCAAAATTATTCTGAATTAAATGAAAATGCAGTTAATAAATAAAAAGGGAAAATAAAAACGCATGACAATATGGGCACTTCCATAAATATTAGTCTAGGCAGAGGGAACAAGCGTTATGAAGACGAATGACATGCTTTTATGACGCTACGAAATTTATGAGAATATATTAATATTAAACTGCTTAAGGGGAATACGCAATCAAAGTGGAATTAAGTATTGCTTCACGTCTGTAAATTATATCAGTAATGCTGCACATAGAATAATCACTTAGTAAGTTAAGTAACCATATGAGGAAGCTTAAGTTCACTCAGCGACTATGGCAAATGATATCCGCGGATTATATCTACGTAATAAATTTTGTAACGGGGATATCTGCTTTTAAAACTGCGTAACAACATAGTCCCTCGGATCAGTGAGCTGAAGATGCAGTTGGCTGGCGATAAACTTCGTAGAACCGACAACCTACGTGGGAAAAAAGGTTCTCAAGTGGTAGATAACAGTAAGTGAAGTGTAAGGCGGTCTCCTGCTAAATGTAATAAAGACCTGGTTGGATATGCAAGAAAATGATTATATTGATATAAGTTTTTTAGACAAAGTGACACATGCATTCTTAGTTGGAGTGGTTAATAGCAATATAAGTTGTAATAACAGCACTGCTAGTAAGCTTTTTTAGGCATTTCTTGAAAGAGACCTGTATATATAGATGAAACAATATAATGATGATAAAATATAGTTGAAATTATGACTGCAGCACGAACGGTTCAGTTCAATCGGGGTAGGATGACGCTCACACAGTATACCAACATAAAAAAGTAGCAAGGACACTTGTGAAACAAAATATTCATGTGTAATTAAAATTGTAGGATCGATAACACACTTAAAAAAAGTAAATATCAGGAAATAGTGTAATCTTGAGGTGTGATATTTCGTATCATTGGTGTCGTTAGATGCATCCATGGACATACCAGAAAGATCTCAAGCTTTCCAAAAGACGGCATTTTAATAATTTTTAACGCCAAGCGAAAAATATCCAAACCGGTGAGGAGGAACGGCGGTAAATATACAAGACGTCTCGTACTGAAATCGTTAGTCTGTCCCTAAGCGCTAAAATTTAGGCAAAACTTCTCAACTGTGGAGGCTTCAGATGTTCAGAAGTGGACATTAGTAAGTCAATAAAGAAAAAGACTAAAGAAAATATCCCGTTTTAAGTAGATTTTTTTAATGGTGATATTTGTTAGGCAGGCCGACCGAATGGCTTGCACATTTGTCACTGCTGGCCTTCACTGGACTGGGTTTTTTTAAGGAATTGCGTTAAACGAGTTGTTGCTTTCCCTATAATAATTATATATTATATTCTACTGAAAATTTTTGAAATAGCCTTTTTATACATATTTTTATCATATTATGTATTAAAAAAGCTGCATAGACAGCAGCTATTTTTAATTTTTAAAATAAAGCTCGAAACGTATTGCAAAACGATGTCTGTTACTTTTATCCAGTTCAGCAATATAGTGAAAAACTGTACGCGTGGGAAATTTATTTTTGAATGAATCGTTTTTGCAGGAGCAAAGAATTTCCGCTTTGTGTTCGATATTTTTCTGGGAAACGTTTTTTCATAATAATTGCTAGACAGTTCTTTAATAGTCGTCTTTTCACTTCTTGATATAAAAAATAAGTACTTTTAATCAAATATCCGGCGTGTTTATTAGATAAAATAACATGCACGCCAAAAGAGCAAGTGCTAAAATTACAATCAACAATTTGTTGATATTGCTTTTGTACCGTGATACTTACATTGAGTGAAAGAAAAATATAAAAAATATTTAAGAATGAAAATAATTTTAGCTAAAAAATAGATTTTTCCCCATTTCTTACTACTTTTTGGTACATCCGTCTCCAATCTTATTCGCCAGCATTACACTTTCAAATTAGTTTGTAAGTAGTGCCTTAGTTAAAAGAAAACTTCCGTAGTGCAGGCCAGTAATTTTAAAAGTTCTCGGAGAAAATATTCTGATCACGTAAACTTTAATTTACAAACTATATCGTTTATGAATCTTTTTACGTTGTGGAGCATTGCAGCTATATTATAGGTGTAGTACAAATGTGTTGACTCGACCGGGGAAAGAACACACTCAAAGAACACCACCATAAAATAGCACCTTACGGTTGCTACGTTACGTATTTTAAGTGTAGCGAACCCTTTGAAATTATAGATATGGAACTCCTCGTTACATTTAAAAGTGTTTCCAATATATTTTTTAATTTCTCAGACATGCTGATTTCCTTATTATGTTTTCCTTTACCGTGTAGCACGTGATAAATCAGTACTTAAAATTGCAATCAACAACTTAGCCTCGGAGATACCATGACTCATGTTATCATAAGTAAAGGAAACAAATTTAAAGTAAATTTTCGTCAAGAAATTATATAGTGCAAGCGTAGAGAACAACATTTTTAGTCTAGGATAGATGTAAATGTCTGCGCCACAACGTTTACTTATCTCTATGACTGTTTGCTCGTTTGTCACCCTTCTATAAAAAAACTAAAATAATCAAGATCGAAATAACTATAGCAAATATTTTAATAAAGTCATTATTTATTTAAATAATATTTTTAACTTCCCATGTGGTTGCAGCGTAAGAGAATCAAGGATGATTCACGTTACACTGTGTCGTGACCGGGCTTGGTCCCGATCGTGCCCCGGCCACGACATGGTAGAACATCTTAGCATACCTTTTGTATGAAGTGATTCACCGTGGCCGAGCCGTGCCCCCACCATGCACCGCCAGGAGCCGGCCGGGGCACGGCGTCGAAATATCATAGGT